ATTAATCCAATGAGCATTGAGTTGACATAAAACATTCACCCCGATAGAATTACAAAAAAAAACAAAAAACATAGTTTGCCTCAACACGTTATTATAAAACACGCAACAGCCGATGGTAACACTATCTCCGCCCTACTTTTCAATACACCGGACATAACATCTACTACTACCTTACAAAAAGGTGAACTTCCGGCAAGTTTTAATGTGTTGTTCTAACTAGTATACGGATAAATATAAACACCGCGAAGTTCAGCCCAGTCTAAATTAACATTTTTGGGGGATGGTGAAGCGTTTTTGTCCATCGGTTAACAAGATCTTTGGGTGTCTAAAGCTGTAATGTAAAACACCTCGAAGGACAAGTTCACTGAACAAGCATCACGTTCGTTTTAACAGGAACTTAGTCTACTTTTCATCCTGGCATCTTTGGAATTGGAATCGAATATCACTTTCAAGCGCAACGGGTATTTGCACGTCCGTCAACCCCAAACTGAAAAATATGCTTTCTATTAAGGATAATGTAACAAATATTAACGATATCACAGTAAACCATTGCAAAAATATATATAGGAATATTTCATGACAAGTTATACATATAAAAAGTAGCTAATTCTCCTTCTAGGTGTATTCAACAACAACCATGCTTAGTTTGTTTGTTTGTTTTGAATTTCGCGCAAAGCTACACGAGAGCTATCAGCGCTAGCCATCCCTAATTTAGCAGTGTAAGACTAGAGGGAGGGCAGCTAGTCATCACCACCCACCGCCAACTCTTCCGCTACTTTTTTTTACCAATGAATAGTGGGATTGACCGTTACTTTACAACGCCTCCACGGCTGAAAGGACGAGCATGTTTGGTGGGACGGGGATTCGAACTCGTGACCCTCAGATTGCGAGTGGAGTGCCCTAACCACCATGCTTTGAAGGTTATGTTTGTGACATTGAATACTTTGTCTCTTGTAAACAACAATAAAAAATGAATATAAAACTTACCAGAAAAACAATTTTTTCGACAAGTTACTAAATCTACTTACTTTTCTATTACAAAAACAAAGAAACATGGTTAATCTTTAAGTTTGGTAAATGATAACATAAGCAGTACATCTCCCCCCATCAGTTTTACCTGAGAAGATCCTCAGAATACAATAGATTTCAGAAAGGGGAGTCATTTCACACAAGCCTTGAGAGAGTAAAGAAGGCAAACTAATGTGGATCTCATGTGCCCCCCCCCAATTCAGCTGGAGGTCCTACAATATGCTGTGATTTGCATATATGTTTGTTGTTAATCTGGCAACTAGAAATGTCTCACAGAAACTGCCATTTGTCCTTCCCCACCAAAGGCCCTGTTTTAGGAAGGATTGGTATTACAGGCAGAGGAAAGGGCACATAAATCAAAATATACTTTAAAGGGAAGGATACTTAAAACAGTATCAACTTAAGAAGGAAGATGTATTGCAGCATACTAAGTTGTGACCTTATAATACATGACAGACAGTTTCTCACGAACAGTTATATTCAAGATGACAAAACCGTTACATGTATTTTTCAACACATTATATGTAATTTCATGCATTGTGTTAATCAAAAAAACATTAAAACAAAATTAATTAACAACCCTTTGTAATGTTTACATATGCAGACAATGTCTCCAGGTTCAGAGCTCCCTATTATACATACTGCAAATACTTTTATCTTTGACCTGTTTAGAATTAACACAAATAATAAATGTCTGCTTTAGTCTGTGGGGGTTGCTGCAAGGAATCTTTCTGCAAAGTCTAATCCATTTTGGCTGTTGGTTAAAATATAGGGGAAGAACAGACCAAAACCTCTAATTTTATGAAATATTTAAAATTTTAACCTCTGTAAAATTGATAGAAAGGCACAAGTTCAAAGTTATCTTTGTGTGAATTCTCATTTACATATACATAAAAAAAATGCTTTCTACGACCTTTGACTCTATAAATAAGAAAAAAAGGCCTAACCTAGGCATATTGGACCAAATATTGTTTCAGGATGATTGGCCCAGAAATTAAGGAGTGGCATACAAATGTAATTTGTGAGGGAGACAATAATATATGTGACACTGTTCCAAATTTACAGATAACACTGACTTCACGTTTTACACTGGAAAACATATTTGTACCATAAAGTTTCCCTATTTTGTTAACTATACACAACTTGACAAATCATACAAAACTATTCCAAAACTGTTAAAATTCAGCAGTTTTAACAGCAAGTTTTTTAAATATTGAACACCTCTTAGTTACAGCACAAGTAAAACAAAACAAAAGATTAATCTGTTAAACTATTTCTCCCAATGAGATGCTACCATCATCCCAGATGTATTAAATTTTTTATTTGTGCATATTAGTCATGAGCTAATACAAAATATTTCAAGAGCTATAAGGTCAAAACCTCCTAACATCTTCTGTGTTAACTTGCTCCAAATTCACTGCCATCAGTCCATACCGACCTATTACATGCAATTAATACATCTTGTAAATAAATGGCTTAGTCCGACTACGTGGGTAAAAAAATTCAATTAACAAAAATAATAATATAGATGTTAAGGGTAAGAGTTTCCAGTTTGTTCACAATGAAGAAAAGTCCACTTTTAAAAAATGCTGAGGTTATAGGGTTTCGTTCTTTTGTCTTTAATGATTTTTTTTTAACTTGTGTATTTTCCTAACATCACAAATAGGTGTTGAGGAAATATACAACCTCAAAATAATGCTTTCTATAATTATCAAATGAGTTACACAAAAATTTCAAAGTTATGAACATTACACATTCCATAAGTTATAAAATTTTTACTCTTCCTATCTATAAATGACACTCCTGTAAATAAAAACAGCCAAAAGTTTCAATATTTACTGCACCACATTCAAACAATGTAAGATGTTATTATTAGGGGTGCAAACAATCAAACTAATAATGGAATGTTTAATAAGTGTGTTTGAAATAAATCTAATTAAATATTTATCTGATCACTACCATCACTTAGACATTAACTTTTAACTTTATGTGTTTCCCATGTACCATGGATTAAGATATCATCATACAGGATTTAAAAAAACTAGTTTTGAACTTTATTAAAAAGTCTGTCATTTTTTAAAGCTTCAATTGAAAATCAAACACCATTTCAGTTGAAAAATGTATCAAAATGTTTGTTTTCAAGTTTTGTGGGTTTGAATACCATCAAATGGATATTCTTTTGATTTAAACAACTATGCACCAAGTCAATAGGAGCCTACAACTAAACACAGTTTTGTCATCATAGCCAATTCAACTCTTAATAAACAGCATATACAAACTTGTCCACACTATAAAGGACACAGGGACACTATCCTTAGTCATATGTAGCAATTATACAAAATTTCTGTCCATCAAAACCTTGAAAGAAGTATATCCAAACACAATTTTATAACTGAAAACTATCAGTTTTAAGATTTTGATACTTGTATTCACTGAAATAATATGTCTTATTTAAAGACAACAAAACAATAAACTGTTTTAATTCACTTCATTTTCTAGATAGTGTCCATTAATCTGTACACAAGAAAAAAAAGACACCACGGTAAAAACAATAGATCTCTCATATTAAGTTACTAGAACATTTTCTCAATTCTCTACCCAGAGATCATGTATAAAAATTCAGTAAAAGTTGACAAGATATTCTTAACACTTAGTAACCAATAAATAAAATTGCCCTCACATTGTTACTATCAATATTTACAAGTGCAGCAACTATAGGACAACCACTATATATTCAAATAAACAACCCAAATAATAATTAATTAAATATCTTAAGTGTTATACCACATAAGATCTAACTGTTTCTACTGAAAAATTATCATTGATGCAATAATAAATCTTTCTGTATACTTCCATTCTTTAAAAAACTAAGAGGCACAGGCTTTTGTTTTGGATATTAATACAAAGCTACATAAACACTATCTGTGCTAGCCATTAGAGCCGGGTGATTAACATGAATACCCATGAGCATCAATTACAATGATTAATGTCAGAAAAATAATCAACTAATCAAAAACAGTGTTTATTATTCCAGCTATCAAAGTAATCAAAATATTGCCATTATGATTTCTCATTATTATTTCTGATTAATTCAAGGTTGTTCTACTTAAATGATTACTGTCATGACTCAATGTGAGAATAACTGATTAATGAGCCAGACAATTAATTGATAAGCATACTCGACTAATTGCTCAGCTCTACTAGTTATCTCTAGTTTTGAACTGATAGACTAGAGGAAAGACAGCTAGTCAACAGCACTCACTACCAACTCTTGGGATATTCTAATTGAATAGTGGGATTTGACTGTCACTCTCATAATGCAGCAACAGAATACAAACCATGAACTCTCAGCTTAATAAATCTGGTATGTTTACTCCTGAGCTTAGCCCACCCAGTGCTTAGAATAGTTAGAACCTTCCACTATGATTCAGACTTTATAATTTTTTTATTTTATGATTTTAATTTTTTTCTAGCAAAAACACTTCTTTTTAAAAAACAGTTGTTAAAAAAATAGGAAGAAAAATATCTTTACCAATGGTTTCATAATGAAATAAACTGGTTTTAAATAAATACAGTTTTGATGTGTTATACAGTTGTCATGTTAAAAATATTTACAATAATTCATAATAGCTCTACAAGTCACCCATTTACCAAAGGTTTATTACCTAACTTAAGATAAATAACCAGCTTCATTAATGTGTAGCTTATGTAAAAAAAGTGCAATAGAAAATACTATAACTGATAAAAATAATTACACAATCTAATCCTATATATACATACTTGTAAATGTTTAGTTTACTTAGGAACACCAAATAAAAACAACACATTTTATTATAGTAAAATGGACAGCAAACTATAAAACTAAAAGAGATCTAGGTCAGAGACCCAAACCAAAGAAGGATAATATAATAATTTTTTAAGTGGTTTATTATTACCATGATATTTGAAATATGTTAATTATACACACTTACTTTGGTGCTTATCAGCCATCAGAACCAAAGAACTAGAAATGTCTTTCCTTCTATAAAAACACATCACTTTAGCTTCCACATTTCCGTTTGGAGTCTTAAAAAAAAAAAAAAAAAACTTATTGATTTCATATAATTAACTAGTATCGATATTTATATACTACAAGTAACACTTTATTTCAGAATTAGATACTACCTTTAAACATATTTCTTAGGCCTAATTATATAGTAATTTTGAGAGAACAGAAAATAAAAACACAGTTGTACCGGCCTGGATCTTTTCCAAACCGCGTGAATCTACATCATTATTGTGGCGGCGGGCTGTCCTTTGACGACCGGATAGACAGACAGTAGAAGAACAAATACAACATGTTGCCAGCGGGGAGGCACCATACGTTTGTTTAATTAAGAATCGTTTCAAAACATTCGCTAAAGTACCAAACGAAATAAATCATTAGAACCTGAAAATATTATACCACGCTCACTTACCTTAATGAGTTCTTCAATTCGTCGGATTTGATACGGTGTAGTGGATGAGGTTTCAAAATAGACATAATCTGCGAAGACAAACGCATTTCTTTGTTTGAAGCGCACAAATTAAACCAACACGGAAAATGAATTTATACGAATTTGCACATTTTATTAGCAACTGTATAAAGTATTTTAAAATACTAAAATAATTTAGAATACTTGCAGTGTGAGTAATACGGTAAATATTATGATAATTATGATACGATCATATTCAGGTTTATTTTAAACCTAGCGGTTATCTAAACTTAAATTAAAAACAAACCGATAAGTACAGTGCAAAGCGTTGCAAGCAGTCACATGATTAAAATAACAAAAATATAAATTTAATAAGATAAAAAGTGACAGTGAATAATACAAGCATATTACTTAGCAAATAAAACATGAGACGTAAAAGAGAAAATTGGATCTCTAGGCAATAGCAACTCTATCGCGCCGAAAGGTTCGATAGGCCTAAAGCTAAAGCATGAACCGCAGTTCGGCCATCGGCCGGTAGCTTGTCTCCTAAACGTGTCGTGTCAGTATCAACTAACGTTAAAAGTAGAACAAACGAAGATAACTTAAGATAAAAAAAAACAAAAAACTTACCTCCAACCCGATACATATTTGCTGCCATTATATTACCTAACTGATAACAGTGGTAATCCACAAAGTACGTTTTTCATGAATGACAAACCAGAGTGTGGCCCCACTTGGTTACGTCCGATCACTCACACTCCAACAAAACGCCATTTTCTGAGACTTCTGTCTTCCTCCTCTTTTACATGTGACGTCACATGTCCTTCGGCGTTCTTCGGAAATGAGTTAAAAGATAATAAGGGTCAAAGGTCACAATTATTCGTGTGGGTAACAGACACTTTGTAATTGACTGTATACGAGTAAAATACAATAAAACAATTATTTTGCAAAAAATATTTAAAAATCCGATTTTGATAAAACTTATATACGTAATATTGTTTATTCTCATTAAGTTTAATGACAAACTCCTGTTTTATGATTTTTTAAATAACATCAAAATGTATTTCACCCTATCCTCTTTGCTTATATTACAAGATTTCCGATGGTACTGTGATATACAAATTTAGTATCACAAGCAAATAACTGCTAAATTTTTCATTATTATTATTAAGAAATAAAAGTAATGAACAACAGAAAAAGCTCTCTTAATATTAAGGCTTATTCAAAGAAACAAGATACATTTAAGAATATTAGCACAAAATGGATATGAATACTCTACTGCATTAGCACACATAAAGCTGCTCCACGGCTATCTGTACTCGTCGTTCTTAATTTAGAATTGATAGTCACATTATAACGCCCTTAGACAGAAAAGGGTCGAATATGTTAAGTGATAGGATTCGAGCCCGCGACCCACAAATTGCGAGTCGAGCCCTCTATCCATTAGGCAAAAAAATTTCAAGCATTTCATAGTCAAAACCGATTTGATTGCTATAAAATGTGTATAAATATGGATGGAAATATTATAAATACTTATACTGAAACTTGTTACAATTTAGTATTATTATAATTTGACGAATAATAAGAATTTTAGGAAATTGAAAGATAATTTATACAAATTATTTTAAATATTCATTTATGAAAGGTTAGTACAGCAAAATTATGTCCTACTTCATTACATAACATAGTTATGCTTTTATCAATTTTAAAAACATCGATAAGATTCCAATGCTTGACTGTTATTACATACTTCTAATGTAATAGATGCTACTAATACATTGTATATCGTCCCTTAAATAAATAAAAACCATTTCTTGAATATTATTTTATAAAAAGAAAACTAATGCATACAAATATGAAACTTATGTAATCAAACTGAAAATATTATTGAACTTCAATAACAACAAATAAATTTCCAAATGTTTTATAAATGCACACCTTTTCTCAAACCTATTAATCAAAATAAAATTTGGAATGAAATGAATGGTCACGAATAATTATGTCAAGTAAATAAGTAATACACGAGAAGACACTACTGTATAATTCTGCAATGAAGTTTCTTGTCACTTATTGCAGAAAAATTCGCGGGCTTGTGTTGACCAGAGTAAAACAAGTTTATCGCCATCTGGTGAATGTATTTTAAATATTTGAATTAAATATTTATTAGAAAGAAGTAGAAGAATCGCGATCTAATCTGAATTTTCTACAAACTAATGAAATTCTCAATTCACTAGGTCTTGTTTTACTCCTTAAAATATAGTGTTGTGTTTCAATAAAATACGATATATTTCAATTATAAAATTAGTATTTTTTACTTTTAAAATCTCAAATTTGCATTTTATAGACTTTTTTGTTACTTATAAACTTTGTATACGGATTAAATAATTACGATGATTATCTTGTCCTTATTAAAGCTGAATAACAGACTGAATAATATTTTCTACAACTTATATTTTGAGTATAACATTTTCCTCAATAGTGAATTTTTAAATTTTGTGAAACATTATTTTTTCAAACTTTTACTACAATTTAACTATTGCACATATATGAATATAATCTTGTACAAGCAAAGACCATTAGTTTTGACATGTAGATTTTCCTGTTTGTACACACTCACATGATGATTAGTTTAAAATTCTATTAATAACTAGCTGTAGTACCCGTCCCCTGGATGGAAGTTGTGTAAATTCATGATTAATAAAAAAAACTGCAAAACACAAAATGTGAAACCTCAAAATTGTATATATCTTCGCTTGGATTCAACAAACCTTCATGCCAAAGTAGTGGTAAAAAAACGCAAAAAAACCCATAAAAACCGCAAAACTGAAAATTTGTATGTATTTCTCCACGGACCCAATGAACCTCCATACAAAAGTTGGTGAATATCTATTTACAGGGGGCGAAGTAATTGAAAAAAACGACAAAACTGAAAATCTATATGTACCCCCGCATGGACCTAATGAACTTCCTGCGAAGTAGTTACATGGACATACAATGACAGTACTATTATATTTATATAGATTAGGCCTCTTGAGTAAATTTACGCTTTGATATAAGTTTTATTCATTTATCATGATCCATATGAATAAATGTTACTTATGGTAAAATAAAGACTAATTCAAAACCATACACATACGGGTCATATTATTTATCGCCACCCGTTTTGATACTTCCATTACTAGCGAGTTGAGAGAAAAATAATTTTATAGTTGGATATTTAATAGAGGGCTTTCCTCCATAGCGAACTCGCATTACGCTGTGCTGCTACCTGTTGGTCTCTTTACAAATTATTTAATCGAAAATTGCATTAATATATGCTGCATATATACGCCAAGATGAGAATTAATAACTCACAATTATACAAAATTCCTTAGTGATTCTTGTTTGATGTAACTATTCCACAATAAAATTTTAAAATAAAAAAATCTTTAATACACCATTATAATAGTTTAATTTATTTTGTTGTCGTTGCTACACAATGGGCAATCTCTGCTCTGCCCATCCTGTATATCGAAACCTGATTTTTTGTCATAAGCCTGCAGCCTTACTGCTAAGCCAAAGCGGCCAACAATTTGATATAGCAGCGTCAAATATGTTGCAAATTTCTTTATATACAACGCAATGACTTTATTATAAACGAAACTCTCTTGATACTCAGTATTTTCAATTTTAACTGCACCTTATGCAGCACATGGGTTAAACAGCTAGGATGAAACCATTTAAAAAGTTTTAGCAGTGGCTGTCTCAAATTTAGCGCTGCTGGCCAAGTTGGGGTGGGGGGTACTATTCAGTAGCACCCACCGCTTACTAGGTTACTCTTTACTAAATAACAGGATTGACTGCCATGGATAAATGCTCCCTCAGTTAAAAATGCATATCATGATTCAAACCTTGGACACCCAGAGTCTGGCATACTAAATAATAAGTCACATCCAGCCCATTAAGTACTTACTTCATCGATTACACACGTTGTGGAGAAACATCCTGGCATTCTGTACATTTAACATGCATCGTGACTGACTTTGTTATATTTTTAACATCCTCATTGACCTAGTTACTCCATTGTTACAGTTACTAGAGAAAAATTTGTTCGTTTATTTGTAGTTAAGCACAAAGCTACACAATGGGCTATCTGTGCTTTACCCATTACAAGTATCAAAACCTGGTTTTAGCATTACAAGTCCACAGATTTATTGCTGTGCCACTGGAGGTTTTAAGGAAGATGATGCATAAAGTGAATTACGGGGTTCATAAATAAAACAAGGTTCAAAATATTTCTTAAACTTACATTTATATTTACAGAAAAGCTATGAAGGCTGCCTGCCACCATCCCTAATTATGAACTACTGACCACAGGGAAAGCAGCCAATCAGCAGCATGCTATGGGATTGACTTTCAGTCTTATAATGCACCTGCAGCTTAAAGTTGGGGGTGGGAGGGAATATTTTGTGGTTTCATACAGATTCAAACTGGGCTCACCATCTCTACCACAGGGGCAATAACATGTAAAGATGCACATAATAACACCACTCAAACTATTGCAGATGTTAAGAATGTACTAAATTCAACTCATTATCCTGTTAATAGTAAGTTCGATAACCCAGCAACATTCTATCAATACTGTATATTTGTGTTGGACTCAACCACTTTTCTGAAGCAACAACAAACCTGTAGTTTAAAAAGAATCTTTTTTTACACTAGTGTAAGGAACTACCAACATTGAAATCATGCATACCCATTTAACCAGTGTAATTTCTGTTCATAAGTTTCAGGAGAGTGAGGTGACTTTAATTATTGCACACAGGGTTAAAAGTATCATAACAGTTTTAGGCAAGAAAATTTTTACTGTTTACATAATTTCATATGGCTCCATACATTTATGTTCATTAACTAAGGTGTATGAAGCAAATATTGAAGCCAGTAAACAGAAGATTTTGCTCTACATTGAATAAGCACTAATTCCTTTAAATTTAATCAGTGATCCCAGATATTCCATTTCCTAGATGTATATATGTATGACTACTTGCTATCCTTTATCATACTTCAGTTTTCACATTGATATAAAATAAACAGTACTAGATAAACAATTTACACATTCATTAGTTTTCACTGGCAAAAGAAAAAAAAAAATACAAACTGAAAATATATGGTATGAAAAATTACTTTATTTCATACATCTCCTTTTTAGAACATACAGAAAAGCATCATGATGTGTAGCAACAGCAGTACAGCATCTACAGCATTGGGACCATGGCTTCACTGAAGTCAACACTTACTGTACAACAAATGAGCTTAAAATATTAACAATAATCATCCACTGTTACACCTTAACTAAACAACTTAATAATGAATCGTGAGTTAACAGAATGACTAGGAGAACCAGTTTAAGAAGAAATAGAAAACAACAAGGGTTACCTTCAACTAATTAATATTAATTGTATTAAAAAAAAATCAAGTTTAGAAATTGTTGGCTCAAAAAATTAGCTTTTCACACTAGGATAATAAAATAAACTTCATAAATTATCTTCAGTATGAAGAACAGTTGCCATATCCTCCTGGTACTTTCAGAACGTCTACTTTTAAGCAGTTGTTTTCAACTCATTCCAACATGGAAATATATTTCCACATGCTGGATAAAACTTGATGATGAGCAAGAAAAATATATCTACAACGTAGCATCTCAACTCCACAAGTGTCTGTATTCAAATACTTTATACTTAAATTTTTTAAATAAAATATAACATTATTTTCTTTGTTAGCACGAATTATCATATATTTTATA